AAATTGAATAACAGTGACTTCAGACTCCTCAGTAAAACTGTGCACCCTTTAAATGATTCTGAACCACCGTTATTTTTTTCCAATTCGAAAGTTAAGTGGTTTCCAAGTTTTAGGTGGCCAAAGTGACAGACTTCCACAAATATAATATGTATAGATTTACTGTCGTTCTGGGTTGTTGATTAAGATCTACACAATACTGTGGTTTTAAAATCTAAAGAAACTTTAATCGAGGTGAAACATAATGTCTTCTTAAACAGCAATACAACAGTGAACACAAAATTAAGAACCCTGAAATCTTACATGTGGTCAGTCCATCCGTATGGACGAAAGTGCTGGACTTCAAACAAGTAAACAAGAAGAAGATTGGAAGCCGTCGATATATGGTATATAAAAAGGACGTTGAAATCTCATGGACAACGGGGGAAAAAGCACAGAAGTGCTCCAAATGGCAGAATGCGTAAAGTCTCTAATCAGAACCACGAGGATGAGGCAATCAGGGATGTTTTAACCACTTAAATAAAACCGATGGACTAGAGAAACTTCTAGAGAGTGGAACAACAGAGGGGAAGGAGTAGCAAAGGAAAATAGAGAACAACATACTATTACACAGAAGGACTGAACAACGTAACGGCAAACAACATGATCAGAAAAAAATGAGCTGATCGGCAAGACAGATCACAGGAAGGAATCGGGCACTATGATCAAATTTTATTTTTAAAGTGGATATTGCACGTGAAAGACGAAAACGCTCGCTATAAAATTCAGTAAGCTGTGCAATAACAAACTACACATAATTAGTTGCGTTAGTCTAGACAGAGCGGTCAATCTGTTGTTTAATGCATTCTGATCATGACATCGACCTCAATGCTCGGACGGTTTGATCTTTCACCTCTGCTCATTCTCTATTGGCTAACAGTACAATAAATATAATCACTGTCCAGGTGAAGGCTTGTGGAGAGGACAACTGGTGTTTATTGAATAGGATCTTTTTACCGATTAAGATTCTACTGTTGCCTATAAAAAGAAGAAAAAAGTAACTTCCAGTCAGTTGTCTATGGAAGATTGATGTTGATGTAAACTTCTACTAAAATCTGTTATGAACACGTGCCCTTTTTCAAATGTACCTCAAAAGGAAAAAAAGAGAGGTGGGGAGACACAGCTTACGGACGTTTAGCAGTAAGGCGCCTCACTGTCGAACACAGAACACCAAAACTTGAATTCTGTGCGGGGAAGAATTTTCATCGAGTACTAACTCATGTCTGGGATATTGTATCCTTCTCAGTCCGGATTGGCCCTGACAGTCAGGGAGGAAGTGCATTTCCTAAATTATATAAATTGTGCCGACTAGGGTCTCAAAACACTATTTAAAAATAACACCCTCTGCCCCCCCCCCTCCAAAAAAAAGTAATAAAAAAATCCACTCACCCACCGAACCTACCAACCAACCAAGCAACCAACCAATAAGTCAACCAACCAACAAACTAATGTTTTGTTTATGTAAAGTGTTTTACGGCGCTCGCAACTGCATAAGGTCATATGAGCGCGTGGGACGCACCTAATATTTTCAGTACGTAGGA